ACCTCTTCAATGGAAAATCGGGAAGGTGGTTCCTATCTATAAATCCGGAAATAAATGTTCTCCTACTAACTATCGCCCCATTTCCCTTACTAGCACCTGCTGCAAGCTTCTAGAACATGTATTATTCACAAATCTTGTAAATTTCCTCCAATCAAACTCCTTTTTCACTCCTGCGCAACACGGGTTTCATAAAACATACTCCTGTGAAACACAGCTCATAACCTTCACTGAAAAACTGCACACTATCCTGGACAGTTCGTCTCAAGCAGACTGCATTTATTTAGATCTTTCTAAAGCATTCGATAAGGTCTGTCATCAACTTCTACTTCACAAACTAAGTAACCTCAACCTTGATAGAAACGTGCTACAATGGATTGAATCATTCCTTACCCGCCGCACCCAATTTGTTCATGCTAATGGCTTTAACTCTTCTTTCAGCGAAGTGCGCTCTGGGGTCCCACAAGGATCCGTCCTAGGGCCCCTTCTATTTCTTATCTATATTAATGACCTCCCTTCAAAATTGTGCTCTAATATTCATTTGTTTGCAGACGACTGTGTGATATTTCGTACGATTAATAATAGTGACGACATTAGAATCCTTCAGTCTGATCTAACCGCTGTTTCTAACTGGTGCCAAACTTGGCTGATGGAATTAAACATTAACAAATGTAAGGTTATGCACGTATCCCGCAACCCCAAGCATCAGTCAACTTATTACCTAAACAGCATAGCTTTAGAACTAGTTACATCATATAAGTACCTTGGAGTGCACATTACAACTAACCTCAGCTGGTCAACACATATTGAACATATCATCAACAACGCTAACAGCATGTTAGGGTACTTACGCCGCAATTTTTCTAGAGCCCCATCGTCACTAAAATTATCGCTTTACAAATCCTTAATACGCCCCAGGTTAGAGTACGCAGCATCAGTATGGGATCCAAGCCAAGAAAATCTAATCGCTTCTCTCGAGCTTGTTCAAAATAATTCCGCTCGCTTTATCCTGTCAAACTATAACCGTACTTCCAGCATATCTTCAATGAAAAGCAGCCTTTCCCTTCCCTCTTTATCATCACGCAGGAAACTTTTTCGGTTAACCATGCTGCATAAAATATTTTATCATTCTTTCCTGCGCAACGAACTCTTACCCCAACCACTATACATTTCCCATCGCATTGACCACCGTCACAAGGTTGGCATTAACTATTATCATACAAAATCTGCCACTCAGTCATTCTTGCCCCGTTCGTCCCGTGAATGGAACCACCTTCCCGCTGAAATTGCGGGTATCACCGATAACCAACTGTTCCGTGCTGCCTTAGCCAATATTGTATATGCAGAAATATCTAATGTTTAATCTGTGTTTGTGTGACCACATTGTTGCGGTAATACTAATTTGTTTTGTCTTTCCTTTTTATGTACACAACGTTTTTGTAACCATGCTACCTCATGCTATGCCTTTGTTCCGTACCACTCCCCTCTGTAATGCCTCTGGCCCTGAGGGTATAATAAAATAAATAAATAAATAAATAAATAAAAGCACGGTGGAGCTAGAAAACCTATGATTGAATAAATGTAACTTCACTTAAAGGGCCCCTAAACCACCAAAAGGTCGAAATTCAGTCGTGGTGCGGGAGTTGTGCTCGAGTGCACAACTACCACGGAGCCATGAGAATTTTTCTAAATGGTGCCGTAATAGCAGAGTTGCGCGCGTTTGATTATCGAAACATGGTGATAACCACTTCGCTACACTCCATTGGAATCACCTCCCAAAGGCGCTTTGCCCAATCGCCGAGCGCCGCTTCCAATTCCGCGCGGCAAAGATCACCGCCGACGCGCTGCTCGAAACAGTCTACTTCCGCTTGCCGCGACTCCGTCCCTCCGCGAACCGCTGCTGCCGTGCCAACTCGTGCTTATTATGAATCGTGCTAGTATGGAACTTTGTTGCGGGTAGCAGCAGCTGATTCGCAAGCAAGCAAGCGCACGCGGGTAACACGAAGAACAACAACCAGCACGGACAGCAGTTTGCAGACCAACCGGAAGTCGTAGGCTATTGCTTGACCAATCATAGAATATTCGTACTGCGCGTCACGCGGAGTTCCGAAAGGCCCGGAGAGGAGGAGGGATTGTTTCTTGGAATTTGTGGCACGCCGGAGGCTCGTAACGCTGTCAGAAGTAGAATCATTGATCGCGAGAGCATTCTGCACACGACGCGCGTGTTTGCTTGACATGTTTGTAAAAAAAATTGCCAGGCCTGCGCGGAACGCGCAGCACAGTCACAGCAAAAGCTCAAAGAGCAGCCTTTCAGAGCCTTTCCTGAACACTCTTTGCATAAATGCTAGAAACACTTGTTCGGTACCCAATACGCCATAAATCATCAATTTCTGTGTAGTCAGCTGGTATTCAGTTTGCTACCCTTCGTCATTCTTCGGAGAGGCTTGGTATCCGCCAAACGCTTGCAACAAATTTTGTGCTAATTTTGTGTTTCTTGCAATGGATGACGACGATGAAGTATTTACGCCTGAAGTGGGTATGTGCTACAGTTGATAGGTGAAGAACAAGTTTTTGTAAAGGGTTGCATCATTGGACGACCCACTCGTTACGCTATTTGCATTGTACGACGACTGCTTGTTCCTTTGCTGTTCTAAAACGCTTTATTACTCATATTAACGCGATCCCTTTTCAGACATCAAGCCTTCCTAAGGCAAGTTTTCGAATGAGTTCCAAGCACCAGCGTGGCTCAGCGGCAGAATACTGGGCTGCACGCAGTGGACCAGAGTTGAAATCCCAGTGCGTTATTTGTGTTTTTTTTATTTGGAATTCTTTTTTTCCTATTTCGTGTGATATTGGTTACGAACACCGGCGACGGCGGACAACTAGGGCGCAGCGCGTGACCCGTGTTGTGACCTCGTAAAGCTTTTTTTTAAAGCTGTTATGAGATCACAACATGGGTCACATTGTCTTACGTTGCATGCTACGTGGGCTAGACGGGCAGATGCATGAACGACCGCTTACGGAAACACGCCAATAACGTTCGTAATGGAGAAGATGGCTTCCTGGCGCTACAGGTGAGCACGTGTGGGTGCACTCCGCAGTTCGAAAGGACAACAGTTATCGGTAAGATTAAAGAAGAGGCCGAGCGTGTAATCTATGAGGCTGCTCAGATGGCGCTTGAAAGGAGCGCGCGCGTAAGCATGCCATCAGTTGCTCTGTCAGAAAGAGGGCTAGGTTTTTTGGGGGTGCGAAGGTCTGCGTAGCAGGCTCAGTGATGATGTTAGCTCGTATCTTTGCATCTGTAGTTTTTCCACAGTTTTTTTGTTCACTCGGGTATATATAATAGCCTTCTTGTCAATAAAATTTCATTTGAAAGTCAGCGCTCATTGATTGATATGTGGGGTTTAACGTCCTAAAACCACCAAGTGATTATGAGAGACGCCATATGGAGGGCTCCGGAAGTTTTGACCACCTGGGGTTCTTCGGCGTGCGCCCAGATTTGAGCACATGGGCCTGGAAGTCAGCGCTTGTCCGGTCTATTTCAAGTCCATCGTGTGGTGTTTTCGCGCTATTAACCTTAAGTATACACAACCGACTATAGCCCAGTCAGCCACTTTGTTAACTCATGACAGCTTTCGCTGTAAAAAAACATTGGAAAAGGTGTATGGGCATTTTTTAAGCGATCGTGGCGTGGCATCAAAACTGGGGTTGCCAGTGCGTCTCGCTTTCGTTTTTCCATAGAAACTAGAATAAACGTATTCGAAAAAAACTATTAGAAAGCATAACGGACATTTTTGCTTGCACAGGTTGGTCCAAACAAAATATTTTCTCTCTTTTTGCTTTAGTACGATTGTGAATGCCTTTTGCTGCACGTACGGTCGACTCCTGGTGGTTGAAGTGGTGCCAGTAATTCTAAACTTTTAATTAATTTTCAATTTTTTCACATCAATTAGTAGACTGTTGCACAAGGACCACTCGAGCACTTTGGACAGTGCCATATTCGTTCAGGATCACAAGTCTGATTTGATACCAGATGAAACGAGCAGTCTAGCTTCATCCACGTTTAATACTAAATTCGTACACTTGTCACTAAAATGTAATTAATTCACAGAAACGTTAAATAAAAAGGGCCCCCAAGATGTATGTGCCACTTAGTTATAATAAAGATGACGCAGAACCGTCGATAACTACACACTGTTGCCAATCGGAGGAATACGACTGCAAAAGTGAGTAAACAACACTCATGCCATAATGTTCTAATTTTGTTAAACGTGTGCTGTGATAGAGCGAGTGAAATGCTTTACAGCAATCAAGGAAGATGCCAAGAGTTAACTTTCCCGCTTCCATGTTTCTGAGTAAAATTTTTTTGTGTGTGTGCCGCGAGCGCAGACGCAGTTGACCTGCCCTGCGTAAAACCATTTTGGCATTCGCACATGATTACGTGATTGAAGAAAAAAAAGTTATGTAGTCGGCGTAAATCATCTTTTCGGGGCCTCTGAAAAATATAGGCAAAGCTGACGTAGGTCTGTAGTTCCCGACGTTGATCCTGTCGAGAATTCTTCGGGAACCGAGAAACGAATCCAGGTTAGAGATTGGGAAGGTGCAGCGAATGGGGCCCGATGACGCTATTGCGTTCTGTTCTTACAGGCGAGGCTCAAGCGTTCTTTAATTTGTTTTATTTTCTGCCTGCATCGTAAACTTCTATAGAAGCAATGTTGTAGTTAGTGGGTCATACGAGCGAATGTTTTTTTTTCCTTTGCGTTTAGAGATGAAATGCATCCTACTTTTTCACAATCTATCGACTGTTTGTCTGTCCTTTTAGTATTTCTCTACTGCTTTAAACACGGCTTCATCAGTGTTATGTCCTAGCTTGTTAATGAGGATGACGGATACCCTACATGAATCACTAGCAGCGCATTTCGGAATTTTTACTTCGGCTTCTTTCCAGTAGAACTTTTCAAGTAGGTGAACACGGAGAGTGAAACAACGAAAGGCTTACGCACCTGTATTGTCGCTCCACAGTTCGCCATTTTAGAGGCCGATGCGTCGGTGGTTGGCCCTCCGGACGACTTTCCGCCCTTGGGAGGAAATCGCGAAGCCGCCCCTGCCGTGGATCCGTGCCTGTTCCCAACAGCTTGCGTGTACCTGACCTAGCGCATGAACGCCCCCTGGAATATGAGCGATGCGCAGCGGCGACGATGGCGTCATCAACCTTGAAAACGATATTACCAGTAATCCGGCAGTATCTCATCTGGGGGCGCGGAGGCACGATGTGTGAAACAACGAAAGCCTTACACATCTGTCTTGTCACTCTGCAAGTTAGTTGCCCTGGTAAATTACCTTATGGCAGCTTTTGATCAGATCATCTTTTTCTTTTCGTGTTTTCGAGCCTTGAAGCTGTTCGCAAGTGTGCACTGCATGTTTGACGCTTCCTGCACGTGAGTGGTGACGTAGAATGCAATCCTGGTCCCATGAATAAAACTCGGTAAAAAAGGTTAATTCAAGTTTTGATAGTGTTCCACGCATTAAAGCTAACTAGGGGCGTAGGCAGAAAATTTTGGCGATTTAAGGGGGGGGGGGGGGGGTTCAACTATAGTCCATGTATGTTCGTGCGTGCGTTTGTATGCGTGCGTGTCACATACGCATGCAAAACTGAAAAATTGCGGGGAAGTTGACCTACCCCCTTTGCCTTTGGCTACGCCCCTGAAGCTGGCAATGTGAGCTTTCTTGATTCTGTCAAGCAAGTTTCGCTCCTTCACACTACCTTGAAACATTTTCAATCTCTCATCAAAAAAAAAACAAACAGGTGACCTCGAGAACGAACTTCAATAAATTTTGACACAGCACTCATCCGCAAATGCGCTACACATTTTCAAGATGCAAGTCATGATTGATGAATAACAGTCACAGGTGACAGGCAGCGAATTCGGAGTAGGAGCTTTCAGGAACTCAATGCAATGATAGATGACTTGCAAAAACAACCACGCTGGTCTAACGTAATTATTTACCAAGTCGCTAAGCTGATGGTTCCGAGTCACGTCAGACGTCTGAAAGAATCGTAAGGGAGCTCTGTTTAAGCCATTTGGTATATCTGTTTTTTTTTATTTCTAGGAATCACCACCTGGGTCATTTTTTCGCCAGATAAGAAGCGTCCAATCATTGCTAAATTTTTAAGCAGAAAGTTGAATTCGTTTTGAGGTATAAATGGCTTCAAATTGAAAAAAAACACCACTAAACGTACAACACGAGAGTACTCTATGACAAAAGATGCAAACAGCCACAATATTTAATTGACTTAAAAAAGAAAAGTGATCATAATGGTCACGTCTTGAATAAGTCATTCGTTGACGTTAACACGTGGGACACATAATCTAAGAGTGCTAAACACTTTCAAGGCGCAGCACCACTTGACGCATCTCAAACGTTTATTCCCCTGTCTTCTCGTACCATAAACCAGTGTCTTCATATCAGCCATCTGCAGAAGACGAATCACCACTGATTAATTCCCGTGACCACAAACGCGGCTTACATTTCCCACCAGCAGACATACCCTCACAAACGCAACGTAAAAAACGTTCATTCCAAGCTTCGGGGGTTAAGCCATCGTCCAACGACCCATCGCACAAAATAACTTTTCCAAACGTTAATGTGCGCAGCATCATGAGCAAATTAGGTGCTTTAAAATGGTCGCTAGTCAATCTCAAGTCCGATTTTATTTGTCGTCACCGGAACTTAGCTAACAAGTGATACTGAACACGCTGAGCTGACAGCTTCCAACTCCGCGATCACGCGAAAGAATAGAAAAACATTGAACTGTGACGTCGCTATCTATAAGTGATAGAATCCCCTTCGCATTACTACCAGACTCTTTTCTACTTATCTTCGGCATTACTGTCAGGTTATATCGTCTTAAATTTGCACTCAAGTTTATTCAGTGGTATCAACGAGGCGCCACCTCATAATTGTTGGTCGGAGGCGTAAGTTAAAGGGGAGTAGAGGGGGGAATAATTTTTTTTTGCCATGCGAGTCGCATATACTTCACAAAAACACCCTTAATGGATAAAACCACTTGTAACTCGTATTAGAATATACAGAGCACTGATTACTTGATGTATTGGCTTTGGATGTCATACACATAGAGATTTTCTCAGTGTGAATGCTGTGATAGTCTTACGAGTCGACTCACTCTGGCTCATACTCAGACTCGGGTGAGTAGGACTGAGTCCGGCTGAGTAGTATGCCGGTGAGGTTGAGTTCGAGTGAGTCCGGTCGAATTAATGTCCAGTGAGTCCGACATATTCCGGCGGAGTAAAATCCTGGCGAGCCGGTGTGCGGGTGAGCGAAGGCTTCAGAGCAGAGTAATTCCTTGAATTAGTCTGGATGGGTACCAATTTATTTTCCGACTTATGCTGCCATTTGTAGATTGTGTAGAAGCAGTATTTTCCAAATTAAAATTCACAGCCCCGCCGCGGTGGTCTAATGACTAAGGTACTCGGCTGCTGACCCGCAGGTCGTGGGACCCGCAGGTCGCGGGATCAAATCTGGGCTGCGGTGGCTGAATTCCCGATGGAGGCGGAAATGTTGTAGGCCCGTGTACTCAGATTTGGGTGCACGTTAAAAAACCCCAGGTTGTCGAAATTTCCAAAGTCCTCCACTACTGCGTCTCTCATAATCATATGGTGGTTTTGGGACATTAAACCCCACATATCAATCAATCAGAACCAAATACTATAGCGTAGCAGGTGGCCTAGAATTCACAACAAACTCTGATTCTACAAGCTGAAAGGTCACTCGTCACTGCCACTGTTATCTACCATCGGCTGATTCAAGCATGGCGTGCTTGGTGGTTCGGCCGCCGCGAGAAGCCGCGACTTGTCCGCGCATGCGAGTGCGATAGCACTGAAAAGCCGCTCTATTGAAAGTGAAAAAAGGGAGAGAGAGAAAAAGTGCTCAAGGGCACGAGGCGCAAGTGACGTATTTTTTCCCCCATGCCATCCCTCCCTGCTGAATTTTCCGCCACTTTCGTCAGTCAGGACGGGGAGAAGAAAGAATGCGATTGCAGCGTGCGCCAAACGTTAGTAACTCAGGGCAAGCATTTTACTCCCACCTGGGACATCTAATATACAGTGTAACGAAAAATTGTAAGCGCATTTTTACCTGGCTGTTCCAGCGCGGTATACCCAAGGACTGCGTGCTAAATTTCGTTAACTCCTTGTTGTGACACAGCCCAGAAAGTACTGGTACAATCTGTAATAAAAAATTGGCCCCGTAACTGCATGGTAATCTGCAAATGTCGTCGAAAGACGATAGTCTTGTGTGTGGAGAGAGTGAACAAGACATTTATTTGATGTTCTGCGCAATAAAATCGGTGAATGGTATTCTGGAGGCGCGGCGTTAGAGTCCCTCGAGCGTGCAGTGGAGGCGAACAAGCGCATCAAGTCACGTCACGCGTGAGACATGAGCGCCATCTGGCAGTCTTTTTAGAAAACAAAGCACGTAACTCTGAGACGGGTGTGCGCGCTCGTCTCAGAGGTGAGAAGGAGTAGAACACAAGGTGAAACGTAGGTGCCACCACAGTTTCGTCTTAGCAAAGCGTTGGAAACACTCACATTTCCGTGCAAGCGTTGCATGGTCAGCCCAGCGTGATAAGCGCTACGGTCCTTAAGATTAATTATGTATGGCTTTTGTAGTAAAAGACGCACATGCAGAATATATACGTGTTGTTATGGTGCCCCTGGCATGTGCAATAATAGCTTTTTAATTAACAATTGCACAAGCATGAACGCTCAACCTTGAGCAACATCGGTGGGCGCTGCCGATGGGGCGGCCGTTTCAAGTACCCGATGCCGGTAAGAGAGGACAAACAGACAAATGTACGTACAGACAGACAGACCAAAATTTTTGCGTCGGAGGTCCCCAAGAAAGACTATCGTCTTTAAAAACATTCAGCGTGGTAGCATCGTACTAAAACGACATCGTATTCAAACTCGCCTGCACTTACGAAAAACAAGGAGTATGTATCACTCTTTTCGGTTACTCCTGACTTGACATACGACTCTCTTTAAAGAGGCACGTTAACTCTCTTGCGGGTCGCACGACTCTCCTAATAGAGTACAATTACACCCCAAAGAGAGTTCGAGTGTGTCTTTAAACGCAGTCATATATACCTGGCCAGCCTAGTACCCCCCCCCCCCCACCTTCCTAAAGAAGAGAGCCAAAAAACTCTTCTTTTTTTCTTAGAGTGTGGCAGTGAGCGCTGCCGTTGGGTCTCTTTGAAAAGGTGCCAATACTTAAGCTAAAAGTAGCCAAAGTAAACACGCAAATTAGTTTTGGTGCCAAATTTGTAGACAAGTAGAAAAAGATCGCAAATATGAATAGAGCTAATCTTATTCAATAATATTCGGTATGATAATATTCAATAATAATATTGAATAATATTCAATTATATGATTTCACTCTTATACGTAGAGCACTGAGACTTCTAATATGTGGTGCCTCTCCATTACTGACACACAGATGAAGCTGCTGTGACGGCCATGTGTTTGCAACACGTTGGGTAAGAGAATTGAATGTTGAATGAGTTCATAAACGATTCATAACAAATTTTTATCGTTTGGGGCATGAAGACTACCGCATTAGACTAAATAAACATGCTTTAGGGCAAGTTGTCATCCGTCGTCTGCTCTACAGATGAATTGCTCTGCGCCGCTTCTCGGAGGCAATGCTTTAGATCATATGGTTCAAAGCAGGGACAAAGATTACGCCTCGCGTAATTTTATCGACAAAAACATTGTGAAATTCATTTTAACGTACTATACTTGAGTTTTGCATTCGCACTGTGGATACTTGCGCACAATTATCCATCGTTTATGAACTCATTCAACATTCAATTCTCTTACCGAACGTGTTGCAAACACATGGCCGTCACAGCAGCTTCATCTGTGTGTCAGTAATGGAGAGGCACCACATATTAGAAGTCTCAGTGCTCTACGTATAAGAGTGAATTCAGATACTGTAGAATACCGTGTTCAAAATAGTTACTCCTATCTGCTAAAACAGCCTTTCTTCACCAAATGCGGTCAACATTACTCGCGTTTGAAACTTATTGCCGCTTTTCCGTTCCGATTTCTAGATTTCTCAACTTATCAGCGCATTCTCGAAAAGCTCTGATTTGTAC